CACTAAAAGCTGTGGCTGTTATTGGACCATTATTTCTGAAAGGTCTTGACGCATGATACCACAATATAATTTTTCTCATGGCCAATCCATATCCCACACGCTGGAGCACCTGCGTCACTCACAAGCTTAGGCAAAATGACACAGTTTCTTCCACAATGAATTAATACAATTTCACGTGTATTATTATGGTCCACTACGATTGACATAATTCATCAAATGGAACATAGGTCCCAAAGATACAGCACATTGTATTCTAATATTTCGATATACATAGAGCAGAGTAGTCGGTACTGTACTCGACCGTCTTCAGGTCCCCAACTGTATTCTCAGGTACCCATTTACAGCTGGGTGGACTGGGAATGCCCCGGGATCAAACCAGCAATAGTAAGGACAGAAGGCGAGTTCTGAAACCACTCGGACACCTCACCCTAATTCACCTTGTACTCGCAACCTATTCGGACTCAAATACGAGTGATAACTTTACGTGATGGCTAAATATCCTGAGTGACAGCACACGCACTAGTTGCTACAGCTGCATATAACAGTCACTTAGGAGAGTAGAACATAATGGATTGGAGTCATATCTCTCTCAGCATCACCAGGGAGCTGAAGGACCGGTAGTGTACAACATAAGCACCGTGTGTGAGGGGAGAGCCTTCCTTCATCCTTCTACTGGGTCAATTTTCACCCCTCGGCCTGGCCATCTCCCCTCACCCAGGAAGAGAGAGAAGGGAGAGATCGGACAGGGAAGCTACTAGAGTGCACAAAGGCTTATATCCTACAGCAGGTGTGTGAGAATGGTGGGATGTGAAGATGAAAGTTTGGTGTTGTGCACAGGTAAAGGAGGTGAATATTAAATTACTATTATTACTACTATTATTATTATAACATTAACAACAACGAATTAACTCTACCACCGGTATCCTTATATATAAAATAGACGAGAAACACAGGTACATAACAACTGACACATACTAAATACACAGGTAAAATAATTATTATACAAAGCATTAGCGTGAGTCCCCTCCGCAGTTATACCTCTTAAATTTGTATCAGAGTCCACACACACACACACACACACACACACACACAGACACACACACACACACACACACAAGGGTATGCTCAGGTTCCTCTACCAGTATCTGTAAATTGGAGAGCGTAGGTACTACCCACTTTCCTTCTGTCGTAGAGTGAAGGCACTATCAGAGTTCTCAAAGCTCTGTCATAGACTGAATATTCAGTCTCACCTGGCACACTCAGGTGAGGTAACGATGTGTTTGTATAATTATGATAACCATTAGTCTTAATTCATGCAGAAAATTGCGCAATTACGTTAACGTATCTGCACGTAATTAAATAAAATTGCATGTTAATTACTGTTAAGTGTAATGATATCATTAATCATTAGGAGGTTTTTGTTCAGGATTTTACCTAGAAACTCTGAAATATAGGAGAAAGTGTAACGATTTATCACATATCTTGACCGCAGCCTGAAGGATTTCTTGAGATTAACCGCAATATCGTAGTTTTCACTTTTTTTCCCCACCGCAGTGAGCAAGTTGTCTGTGGAGACGTTAAGAGAACAGCCGTGTTATGAAGCTTTCGCGTTATAGTTGGGGATATTTTTAGGTATTGTTATTAAATCCCCTGAAAATTATCCCTCAGCTTCTCTCACCCGATAATAAACGACCTTACGCTACCTTGGTGGGGGTAATTTATGTTAAGTTATACGTTAAATTAGGGTATAGGTTAGGTTATGTTTCATTTGGGCGGTTAATCTTAAGGTGAAATAAGCTAGAGGGCTAATCTACAGGTGATCACTATTTATTAGCCTTAAGATTACTATCATTATAACTCTTTAGTCTAAGTATTTTTGATAATTAAACCCTATTGAAGATTATATTATATACAGTATACAATTAGCATAGTTGACTGAGCTGTTTATTGTCTATTGAGATCTCTCTCTCTCTCTCTCTCTCTCTCTCTCTCTCTCTCTCTCTCTCTCTGTGTCTGTCTCTTATCCAGCACACCCATTATCTCTCTCAGTCTCTCTTCTCCTGATCTCTTTCTCAGTCTCTTCTCCAGCACATCCCTTATCTCTCTCAGTCTCTCTTCTCCAGCTCTCTCTCTCTCAGACTCTCTTCACCAGATATCTCTCTCAGTCCCCCTTCTCGGATCTACACCTATGACTCTCACAAAGTCACTGGACCCGACTTTTTTTCAGCCACTGGTGTCGCGTTTGTGACAGTTTGGGAAACGTGGACTGCCTTCCTAATTTCTTTCATTCTCTTCCGTGCCATGTTGGGTTGGGGTGTGTGTGTGTGTGTGTGTGTGTGTGTGTGTGTGTGTTTCATATGATAGTAGACTCTTATTACAATGAAGAAAAAAACAAAGCTTTCTATAGTCAAGGGAACAATTAATGAAAGCTAAATAAAACTCTGTTGTAGTAGTTTGTGGCTTCTGTCAAACAAGTTTCTCACTGGGACAATTTATAGGTTTGCGTGGGTTGGAAATGAAAATATTAAACCACAACATAAAAAAAAAAAAAAAACAATATTTATCTATACGTCAAATAAACACGAAATTATTACCTTCCTTGCAAAAAAAAATCGACCCAAACATGAATTACTATCAATCACAACAACGAAATATTTTAATCAATGAAATGGAAAAAAAAATCTAAAATCTCCTCATATTTACTATCACCTAAATCCTGGCTTAAAGGTCACCATGAAAACACAACCAGAAGCAGTGAACGTCAAATCACAGCACCATCCATCACACCAGCTGAGAGGAGACTTCAATTCAGGAGGTCATTTTTGTTACTTGACAGACCACTCGACTCTCCCCTCCGAGACTCTCACAACAAATACCTTCAGTAGACTGGAATTACTGGGGGAAAAAAAGTTAGGTATAGTTTCCCCCATTACCAGTCCGCTTTCCACACCACCAGCTGCAACGACCTCTTGTCCTGGAGATATCTGAGGGTAGGTATTGTGCTCTCTCTCTCTCTCTCTCTCTCTCTCTCTCTCTCTCTCTCTCTCTCTTAGTCTACCCTGTTCCCTCCGTACTTCAGAAACGTGTGGAATTGCGCCAGCCTTTACCTCCATTGTAGAAATAATCAGTCAAAACAAAACAGGAATGGCTCTAATACACTACCTCAAATGTGTCGATAAAGTCACAAAGTCTGGGTTAGGTTAGGTTAGGTTAGTCAACAATGTTAGTTTTTACAAGATCTTATGACAACACACACAAACACACACAAACACACACACACACGAAAGGACATTATGACCACACAAGCTAGGGGGTTCAACTTACCATAGCACTATAAACCATATTGACAGGGAACAAAAACTGAAGGAGAGAGAGAGAGAGAGAGAGAGAGAGAGAGAGAGAGAGAGAGAGAGAGAGAGAGAGAGAGAGAGAGAGATCATCTGCATCTGGACGAGACTGTAACTACGTAATCAAAATTCCCCTAAGATCTTGAGGGGAGAACATGTGGATACGTGCAATCAACTCAATTCATTACCATCACTTGCCATACCTCACGTTCCTCCAGACTCGAACAGATATAAACAATGCATCCGGCGGCCATTATAACACACTAGTTTGTTTATATATCGTAGCTAAACAAACACAGTAATAACGAAGAACTTTCATCATCTTACACTATAATAAACCTTCGTTATCTAACTCCGTCTCGTTGAAGAATGTTAATCTGTGTTCATTCGTAACTCGTGGACACAATTCCTGCTTGAAAAAAATATTCTGGTGTGTTTAGTGGTATTAAGGAGTACCGGACAATCTGTACGCCTGGCAGACGGCCCTGGTGAAGCTTTTACACTATGGGATAGATGGCCTTCTGGACGAGGTCAGGGAGTGTCCTGCGCACTCACTTGCTTAGAAGCTGATGCGGTTGTTGAGTATTCCGGTAAACGGCCTTCATGCTTCCAGTAAGTCTGCTTAAACGCCACTCTTTATTCATTGCATTTCTAACGATCTATACCTTAAAATAATGACAATATTTTGATCATAAGGCCACCATGAGCTGAGAAAAGACATATTATTGTCTATTGTAAATGGTGGTACAAATTTGCTGAGAGTCGTATGATGATGCATCCTTATCAAACACTGTAGTCAACATCATTCTACAGGAGATGAACTTTTATCACTCAGATCCCTTGCTGTTCTAAATAACGTCCAAGTAAACCGAGTAAACACTTGTAGCTTCACGGGGGAAATAAACAATAACCTCTTGATGGTTTCTGATAGATTCTTGCCATTCAGTCTTCACCCCGAGTTGCTGGTCATCATCTGAAGACTCCCGCTAGTCGTCTCCGCTCTCTCACGGTCACCACAAATAACATATTCCATTTAATACTTGATACAAACTCTGCTTGAAAGTAGAGGTGTTTTTGTTCTTTTGAGTCTTAAGTCTTACAGAATATTATTATTATTAGTTCTCTGCTTGTCATCACACCACTTGCAATAACAGCATAAATATATAATGTTTAGTATAGTGTTACTATTATTATCAAAATTTCATCGTCTAGTGTTAATATTTTTATCATCAAACAGCTCACACAATATCATTACTACATCATATCCTTCTGGTTGTCCAGGTGGCTAGTGAGCGTCTTGTTTGGAGACGAAGTTTGATCACCACCTCAGAGGAAACATCATCACTCGTTGAAGGCCAAGAACAAAGAGGAGAACATGCTGTATATTTACCTAACCCGACACATTACACCCACCTACCACTATGACTCGCGCTACGGTACATGCCACACCACCTGCATGAAATAAACGTTTCCGCTGTTATTATATTCATGAATATAGAGCTCATAGTCAAGCACTCGCAAACGTACAAACACCACCAATAGCGGAGGAGGAATGATCTTTTGCCTGTCCTTGGAGCGAAGGTTTGGCGTGACACAATTTTTGCGTCGGATTGGAACTCCTCAGGGCCGGAAGAGCAGCTTGGCGTGGCATCACACTATAAAGGTTGTCCCAGTAGTGTTGTGTTTACTGTCAGGAGAAGAGGACCATCATGAGGACAACGCTGGTGAGTAACTGTGATATCTGATGTTCCTCTCAGTCAAGATGAAGGTGGTGTTGTGTCTTGTACAGAGTCCGTCTATGGTGTTTTGAAAAAAAATATTACAAATACAGTTTCTGATGATGAAGTGTTAAGGCAAATCGCTACATTCAAAACGTTCACTTTCATGTTTTACATTACTAATATGTACAGAGTTTCAGGAACATATCCTTACAGTTTATATCAACAGCACAATGATTTAAAACTTCTCTTACAACACAAATAGATTTTCCTGAAATTAAACGCAATTGGAATTTGACTAAAGTGTTATAAAAAAGAAAATTGGATAACAATTCCAGTTGTAACTCAATAATCAGGTTTTTAGGAAAGTCTTCGAGGTAGTAGATATGACGAAAATTACGATGTTATTTACTTAGACTTTAGCAAAGCGTTTGACAGAGTACCGCATCAGAGGCTTCTGAGAAAAGTTATAGCTCATAGTATCGAGGGGAAAGTCTTAAATTGGATAAAATCATGGCTCACCGATAGAACACAGAGGGTCAGCGTAGATGGTGTTAAATCTGAGTGGGGCTGTGTGACCAGTGGGGTTCCCCAGGGGTCACTACTGGGCCCACTCTTGTTCATAATCTACATAAACGATCTAGATACTGGGATCAGCAGTGACATAAGCAAGTTTGCAGATGTCACCAAAATAGGGCGGCAGATTAATTCAGGGCAGGATGCAAATGCACTACAGGAGGATTTAAATAAACTACAGGAGTGGTCAGAAAAATGGCAAATGAATTCAACATCAGCAAGTGCAGCGTACTAAATATCGGAAGAATAAATACTGTCAATGTATACAGCCTTAACAACATCAACCTAGAGAAGTCGACTTGTGAAAGAGACTTAGGGGTACTTGTAAGCCCGGACCTACGGCCTAGAAAACAGTACGTTAATGTTCGAAATAAGGCAAACAGAGTATTAAGTCTTATATCTAGAAGTGTAAGTAATAAGAGTGCAGAGGTCTTATTGCAACTATATTTTGCGCTAGTCAGGCCGCACCTCGATTATGCGGTTCAGTTCTGGTGCCCTTATTATAGAATGGATATCAATTCACTGGAGTAGGTGCAGCGAAGAATGACGAAAATAATTCCGGGACTTATAAACCTTCCATATCAAGATAGGTTAAAGAAACTAAACTTGCATTCCCTGGAAAAGACGAAGAGTGCGGGGAGATATGATGCTGACCATTACACCGCAGCATACAGCTCCAACCACACCAATGATCTGACGCTTCGAACACATACCCGAGAACTTGTTTATCACACTAAATTGGATAAGAAAATACAGGCGATTAAAACTAGTAAGATAAAATAACAAAGTGAATAATTATCTCAAAAACGTATATTTTTTCTGATGTATATTTCTTGAGTGAAGGAAAATCGAAACAAAATGGAAGCCGTGGTAATAATGGTTTCTTAGAATTACATGCGTTTAAATTCTACCTTAAGAAAACCTAAGAGCAACTTTGGTGTAGTTTCAGTCACCATGTTTGTGTAGGAAGTTATATCAGAGAGTTATGTATCATATCGTCACACCTTCAGTTTTGAGTTTAAGCATTATGAGACGAACTATTGTGAGTCGGTGGTCAGGTAACACAGTGCCGCTATGTTCTTATGAAATAATGGCTTCTACCTTCATTGTGATCTACCTCTCAGAAGTACTCACCAACACAGGACCATACGAGTCCATAATAACAATAGTAATGAGTTTAATGACACTACAAATACTAATATTACTACTCATAAGAATATTATTATTATTATTATTATTATTATTATTATTATTATTATTATTATTATTATTATTATTGCATTCATAATGACATCTTACGGTGGTTTCAAATAAACACTAACAAGTTAATATTTATGCACAACATTTTATCAATTGGTTGTATGTTATCGTTTAAAAATCAGTAGATACATTGTTGTCATAATTCTAGTTATAGATGGTAAATAATCAATGCATTTATATATTTCTCTTCCCGTCGACTAGTGTTCATAATAAAAGTTAAAAGAGGTAAGGTACTCGACACTGTGTTATGATGGATGATGTCTCTCTCATTTATAGATAGTACTGGTGCTGGTCGCCCTGGTGGCAGCCGAGCAGAAGAGGGCAGCAAACCCCCACCCCAGCCATGGAGGTTACGGTTTAAGAGGCTACGGAGGCTACGGCTTGGGAGGTTATGGAGGCTATGGAGGCTACGGTGGCTATGGAGGCTATGGTGGGTATGGAGGCTACGGTGGCTATGGAGGCTACGGTAGCTATGGAGGCTACGGTGGCTATGGACGCTACGGTGGCTATGGACGCTACGGTGGCTATGGAGGCTACGGTGGCTACCCAGTCTCTTACAGCTACAGCTATGGGCGTGGCAAGCGATCGGCTGACCCCATCCCTGACCCCACTGCAAAGACCAGCAACCATCACAGTTCGTACAGCTCCTCTGGGGGTTCAAGTTACGGCAGACCTTATGGCTATAAGGTGGGCTCCGGGGTTAGTTACGGAACCAGAAGTTACGGCTCCGGAAACAGGGGTACTAGTTACGGAAATGTAGGGTATGGTTACGGAAACAGGGGTACTAGTTACGGAAATGTAGGGTACGGTTACGGAAACAGGGGTACTCGTTACGGAAATGTAGGGTACGGTTACGGAAACAGGGGTACTCGTTACGGAAATGTAGGGTATGGTTACGGAAACAGGGGTACTAGTTACGGAAATGTGGGGTATGGTTACGGAAACGGAGGCATTGGTTATGGAAATGTGGGGTATGGTTACGGAAACGGAGGCATTGGTTATGGAAATGTGGGGTATGGTTACGGAAACGGAGGCATTGGTTATAGAAATGTATATAATAGTTATCCATATGGTGTCACCTACAACACATATGGTGGTAGTGGGTACGGGAATGGCATCCTTAACAGGGGCTATGGGTACGGTTACGGGTATCCTTCCGGTAATACACTCATCTATAGCTATGGGTATCCCTCAAACACCTACGGATACCAGAGTAACACCTACGGGTATCCATCTAATACCTATAATAGTAATGGTTAAGAAATTGGTTACCTAACGTATACTTCCGCTCTCAAAGTCGCTTTCCAAGATAACGTTGACCACCACCAACAGCCCGACCTACTAACATTACCACTTCAAGCATCTATCAGCATTGCCACCACTAGCACCTACAAGCATTACCACTACTATCACTTTCCAACATTACAACCCCTAACAGTTACAGTACAAACATTACCACCACTAGCACTACCACACCACCACCACAACTACTAACATCACGTGCAAAGGAATAAAATAAATATATATATTGTTAAAAAGTACAAGAATATATATATATCAACATTGCATGGGCTAATTTAGATGTACTTATTGCAATTGTTCTCACAAGGCACACTCATACTGCATCAATGAAAATCTATGTTTGGATATTTTTGTATTTCATAATAACTCATTTATATTTTAAATACATGTGAGTGTTGCATCAAATCTATAAACACTAACGATTTATACTAATGTGTATGTGTTTCTAGACTATATAAAACAACTTTGTATGCAAACTTTATATAAATGATAAACAAAAAATAACTAATAATGTCTTTAACTCATAATCCCAAACTGATTGTTAAGTTGTTTATATGTTTTATGAAAAAATAAAAATAAAATAAAAATCAGGTTATTAGATGTAAAGTATAGTTAATTTGTACTATATTAAAGTACGTTAAATACAGTAATTAAGCTCCGGTTGGTTACTATAAGCTGGTATAGGCAGCCTATTACTGTATTAAATTTGGCACTGAGTCGCTCCTTTTGATGTGCAGGAAGTTCCGCTAACTTCCTCCTGATAAGAGAAAAGCTTCGAACCTCAAGGAAGAACCACCAGTATGTAAGGAACGAGTCCCAACTCCCTAATATTCTGTGGCATTAAGTATTCCTAAACCCAGATTAATTTTGGGAAGATTTAAATACATGTGATATCATTTCCGCTACCTGATGTATCTTATGGATGTTGGTGATACAGAAGTGAGTGAGAAATACGTTGGCTTTGGCCATAATGGGGACAGGTTCATAAACACAGTTATTTGTTCCTCAGTTTACAATATTTGGTAAAAAAAATTTGAGAAGTAGTAACATTTTCATTTATATACACCTCACTACCTGATCATTTTCCCTTTAGCTAGTAATTTGGTATCGTCTCGTAATTAAACATCAATGTAAACTAAAGGTGCATTATTTCTAAGTTATTTAGGTCGAATTCCTGTAAAGTGTGTGTGTGTGTGTGTGTGTGTGTGTGTGTGTGTCGTCTGACTGATTTTTTTTATATTTTTGGATAATTTTCAAGTCTTTAAGGATGCAAAAGTAAGTTCCATCTGCCTCTAGAAGTTTCGTTGTGTGTTCTTTTTATTCTTTTACTCTGTTCTCATTCTTACTATTCTTTTACTCTGTTCTCATTCTTACTATTCTTTTACTCTGTTCTCATTCTTACTATTCTTTTACTCTGTTCTCATTCTTACTATTCTTTTACTCTGTTCTCATTCTTACTATTCTTTTACTCTGTTCTCATTCTTACCGACTGTACGTCTCTCCGTCTGTCTCCTTCCAGCTTCTTATCCACCAAATCCTCCTTTTTTTTTAACTTTTTCTCCCGATTACTTCAACTTTTTTCTTTACTTCTCTGCCATTGGTCTTCACCCAATTCACCAGTTCTTCTTCGTCTCCTGATGCTCCTCCCTCAGGCACGTCTCACATCTATGATCTCGTAAATCCTAACACCCCCGACCAAAACCACCTTCGTCTCTTTTGATTATCGTGTTGGACCATCCAGTTCAGCCTCTCTCTCTCTCTCTCTCAAAAATAAAAATAAATAAATAAATAAAATACAAATAATACAACGACTGAGAAAAAGACACACCTTATTAAGAATTCTTTAAAGAGTGTATTTCAATTGCACCTGGAAGTCTTGGGACCACTCAGTAAATTTCCCCAGTGACCGAAAAGATAGTTGCGAGGAAGCTCAAGATGACATTTCACGGTTAAATCCATAATTTATAACACATCTCACTAAGACAGGCTTTTAATTATCTTTTGGTACATTGGAATATTGGAGTAGATTATTTTTCCCTCCCGTAAAAATAGGGTGGGGGGGTGAGGTGCAAGGAAGCAGATCGATATAAATTCGTGCTTGAGCAGTCAGCAGGACCAGGTGTCACGCCAAGTCTCCCTCGTGACCTTCACCAACGCCCACCCGCCACGGAGTTATGCACCCACACCATTTTTTATTCTGATTTCCATTCCAACGCCAAAACCTAAAGGGAGTGGTGGTGGGGGAGGAGGAGGAGTCGAGGTGCCATAACCTTCTCGTGGTGCTGAGGGTGAAAGCTCCTTATTTCAGAGTTCCATCAAGGTCTGTCACAGTGAGTTGGGGTAATTTCCTGATGTTTATGACCACAGGAGAGAAGAAATTCACCATGATGGATATTTTTTTTTTGAGATGCTTCTGGTTGAAGGTAATTTTTGACGAATATCTTATTTTAAAAATTCGTTGATTAAATTATATTGTGTAACTTTGTCTTTTTTTTTCAGTTTGGCGTAAATATTGAACATATCTGCTTATTTATAGTCCATTAATAGTGTTTAGAATTTGCTAATTATCCAAGAAATAGAAATCATGAGAGGAAATGAAGATGTATTGTAAGATGTCAAAGGATCGTGAGGACTTGGTAGCAAATGACACGGAAACTCTAGCGTCATATGAATGGTTCCAGATGGACGACAACCTGGCTGTAGAGACGTGAAGGGATAAATATTCTAACCTTGAACAAAGATAAGAAAGTGTATTGCCATCTGAGATACACAACTGAAATACACAACACTATACAGTTGAACTTCCAAAACAACCTCACCCAATACCTATAAAATGCTATAACAGATTACAATGACTGTATGGACCCGTAATACAACATCTAGTGATGAAACTTCTGACGCATTCCACAGGTAAACAATTAGCGCAGACTCCAATTGGATAATGAAACATCACATTAGAATGACTGTAAAAATGAAAATTGCTACATCCACTAATGATTCTAACTAACGACCTGCAAATTCGTCCAATTAGCGAAGCCCCACACAGTCAATATAGTACATACATACGTTCACACACACACACACACACACATGTTGACGCATCAGGTGCAAATCACTTCATAAACGAGCATTAATATTTCACCTAATGACTGTAACGAATTAAACATGTTAACCAGCCACTAAAGCCTCCCAATATTGAAGCATTCAGAGAGCTGTAGTCAATGTGGCGTGCAGAGTCACTGTGAATGGCCGTTTCATCCTGGATTACCGAGGCAATTACGTACGACGCTGCAATCACACATGTCTCGCATTTTGCTGCCTCAGTGATTATGTCCGGTAATCACGACACAGGAGTGATTTATTTTGATTTTTATAGCAGATAACGAGAGGAAGAATGTTTAATAAAGAGTTACAAAACTATTTAATTAACTACATAAGTGAACTTGTATTAATACTTCACTGTCTTTTCTGAAGCTGTGAGTTACTGTAATTTTGTCGTAGGCGATATTTGTACAGGAAGCGCAAGCAAACATATATTAATAATAATAGTAATAATAATAATAATAATAATAATAATAATAAAAATAATAATAATAAACTGACTCAAGAGTTAAAAGTACAATAAAATCTGTACCAAACAACTAGAGTACACAATCTAAGACAGAGTTAGCCTACTTCACAAATCTGAGAATGAGGCAGCCAGCGTAAGCCTGGGCTTGTCATTATGAGGCACTCCTACCCCATTTATGAGCAAGAGATGAGAGGCAGATTTTCACGGCCAGTCATAAGTGGAATAGTTCGCACGACTTCCACGCCTCCTCCTGCCTTACGCACTTCCAATTAAATGCAAATTCAGGGGTTCACCGAGACAGCTACTGGCGTTAGTCAGAAATGTGTGCCAGCGGGGAGGTGATGGATGAAGGGAGAGGACCAGTACTGTTTTACTCATTTCTCTTATGAAGGAACTCCCTGTTGAGGCGAGACACTGTGGAGTTTACACAAGAGACGTACATAAGATATTAAGCTGTAGGAATTTCATAAAGGATTCCATTATTTACGTATATTACGCTGGAATATGCAGTTAGATCTGTATGTATTTTGGTCTATATTGTATAACCTTGTGAAGCATTAAAGCCTAATGGTAATAGTATATGATGATAATACTAAGTCACGAAAATAAAAAATATAACGTGAATAGTAATGTTATTATTTCTTACTCTACTCGCATTATTATTATTATTATTATTTTTATTTTTATTATTATTATTATTATTATTATTATTATTATCATTATTATTATTATTATTATTATTATTATCATTATTATTATTATTATTATAATTTCATGGTTCAATTTATCCTCATCTTATATATCCCGGTGAGCCTCAGTATTACGGTCATGTCTCATCATAAATCCATCAACTCAAATATACGTCAAGTGGTCAAAGGCACCTGAGGAGGCATAAATTTTTTTTCATGTATCTTGTGAAATTTTCTTTCACCTGTAACGCCATATAACTAATGATATAAACTGACGCCATTGTCAACACTAACGAACATAACAATGTGTAAGTTAATGTATTCTGATCACTTGACTTTAACCTATCAAACCTGACCTAAAATAACCTAACCTAACATAACCTTACCTAACATACCCCTCCCCCCCCCCCAAGTAGCGTTAGGGTGTTTAATCATCAAGACACAATTATCTAACACGTAATATCTCCAAAAGGATCATCTCTGTGAACTGGTAATTATTGATGATTTACTGAATAATAAAGAGAAGAGCCTATACAACAAAAGACCAAATGATACTTGTATTAAAAGTATGTGATCAAGAATAAAAAGGTAAAGAATAGATTATTTTCTCCGTTAGTCAAGAATAAAACTCATTGAACCTCCCAAATCTAAAGAGAATTTTAAGTGAAGTTTTAAACAAATATTTTTTATCCATTTAGAAACATTGTATTACCTTCCTCTCATCCAACTCTCTCTCAAGTCAACCTATTAAATGCATTTTATAGAGGAAGCACGGAAGCACTCTCACTGTGTCTTCCAAGTTTTCTCAATAAAAGTCATTGGTCTTGATGATGCAATGAAGCGAGCAAATCCATGGGGCGGAAACGAGGAGCTTGAGCTGTGCTGAACTAGGGACAGTGTTCACGCAAAAGAAAGGAGCGGTCATTAGAAGTAGTTTATGGCAGAACACGATGAGATTTCCAAGAGGCTCATATCGTTCGGTTCAGACTCTAAATCTATAAGGAGATATTGGATTCTGGGATGGAACGCTATGGTGAGGGTCGTGGAGGAGGTGAAGGAGAGGGGTATGATAGTGTTACGGTGAATGAACTCGACTCTAAGCCGACCCAAAAGTTTAAAGCTGCTCACTTATTCGTTCAGAAAAAGGAATTGAAACTTGATTTCCATCCGAATTGGAAGTATTAAGTTTATTGACTGTTTTATGAGTTTTAACTTTTTGATGAAACTTTTTGCTCTCTCTCTCTC